GGGTGTCTGCCCAACAGCTATCTACCTGGTAGAGTACCCACTCCCTAATAGGAAAACTATGCTGTCCAACTAGGGTGGGTCCTCTGGCATGAAGGTTCCAACCTGTGGCACCACAGTGGATGACCATTTGTAGACACTAAAAAGAGCCTCTCAGGTTGTAAGGGAACAAAGCTCAGAGCCAGATGATAAATTAGATAGCCCCTTTCCCATGACTATCTTTCCAGGTTTGAGAAACTGCTCTGGCCCCTTTCCCAGGGCCCTGGAATACAAACCTTGAGAGACTCTTCAGTCTTCCAGGGTTAGCCCTGCCCACCTTCACTCCCTCACTTCACCTCAGTTGTAATGGAGAACAGGCAATTCCCTAAAAGCTATGGGGTCCTGCCACTGCCTGGAGAAGTCAAGTGCTTTACTTAAGGTCCTAAAGTCTATTAAAGACACAATAGAACTTCTCTGAAGTTGGTTCTTTTCTGCAACTATCAACCACGGACAGGGAGAACTGTATAGCTCACTGCAACAGATGCCGACTCCATGAAATAGGTAGTGGGTAATTCTTACAAACACCACCACCCATCAACTCAGAAATTAAGCTAGGTTCTCAGTACAATTCACACTTCTCAGAAGAGGGAAAGATGGCATAACAAGCAACTCAAGTTAGCACTGCTTGCTAGGCAAAAAAAAAAAAAAAAGGTGCAAGGTGACTCCCTCATTTACCACAGACCTCTGGAATGATCAGGTAGCTACTCAGAGTCTGTGCAGAGACGCTGCAGGGGAGAACAGGTACCGCACAGATCTGGTGGCTGCCAATCCCAGGTTCCTACAATGGATGCTATCCTGATCATTCTGGTGCATGGAGATAGGTCCACTGAGGAACCAGCCTTCTAGCAGTAGTCCTGCCAGGTCAAAAAAGTTAGCAGACAGAACAGAAGCTTTCCTGTGCTCTGCCCTGATCTCAGGGCTGAGCATGCCTCCTCCTCCATACGGTACCAGAGAGGAGGAGTGACAGATGCCAACAGGCATCACCTGGGAAGCCTTGGGCTACAGCCTCAGCAAGTCCTAGGTATGGAGAGAACCTTAGATGACACAAAGCTGTGGCCTAGCTACATGATTCCTTGCTGCTAAGAAAACCACTGCCTATGCATTTGGGTCTCAA